AAAGAATAACAGTTTCTATCCTGTCTTTTTAAATGTCGGAATCATGTCTGATATGTTGGTAATTAAAATATAAAAATCAGATTCATTTAGTCTTCTAAACAAGCTCCTTAAGTCTTAAGCAAGATTTTCTTAAGTAAGAATTGGCTTCTCAGCTTCATGGATGGGAACATAATAGGAGCTAGCTGTTTGTATTTGGCATAGTTAATTTAACTCTGAAGACTGCTATTTATATTTAATTCTAGTGGACATAAGCAAAGAAAGCTAGAAAAGAAATGGCCAGAAATCCACACATCAAATGCAGACCTTATATTTTAATTCCTTATTACCGCCTTGTTAACTAATTACCGCAAATTCTATCTCATAAATTCAGAACACAGGAATAGATTCTAGGAGACCTGGCTCCTGGTTCTGGTATTGCCGCTGATTTTGTGGATTGAGTCAAGATACTTAATCTTTGTTTGATTTTCATTTCTCATCCTCTTATTGATACACCGTCTTTATTAATTCCTGTTGCACTTGCTACATTTCACAATATCACAGTGTCTCCAGTAGCTATCACACTGTTGGGTAGTACAAGCCTAGAAGTAGATTTATATTGAATTATAGCTGAATTTTGGAGATAGAACAAGACCTATGGGACTTGTTTTTATCTACCTTGCAACTATTTTTTTTCCTATGGCTCCATTGTTAGACCAGTGAGGTCATCATAGCTGCTTGAAATCCTATCTTTACAAGTTTAAGTTCAGTATGAAAGATATTTTCTCCCTAAGATCACCTATATAAAATGCTTGTGTTCCTGCTGATGAGACTAGCTCACATCACCTGGAATCAATCCATGGACCATACCAAGCTTAATCATGTGCTCTAGACCTGGGAAGCAGGAGCATTAATAAACACGAAAGAGCCGAAAAGAAAAAATAAGAGAAAGAGAAAATAACAGAAGAGAAAATACAGAGATGACAAGAAACACAAGCAGATGAAATACAAAGTCTTGAAGAACATATGCTGGAGAGGATTGAACTCTATAACACAAATCAAAAATACCTAAATCAAAATCACTTCGAGGTGTTAGAAAAAGTTGGGCAGAAAAAAAAAAAGGTGGGCAATGATTGGGCACAGAAACAAAAAGGAAAATGAAGCTGCAACGTTAATTCCAGGTCAGATAAATTTCAAGGCAAATTCAATAGAGCAGAGTGGCATTTGAGATGAAAGGCACAGTCTAGAATAAAGGTACAATGGTCAGAGACCTTATGAGCCCGAGAACATGCAGTTAAAACATGTAAAGCAACTTCTTTGAAGATATGAGAAATCAACAGTACTCAAATGTCACAGAATACAACATACCTCCCTCAGTGTTTGACAGATCAAGTAAACAAAATAAGGATTAGTTAAGAGGAAGGATATCACGGGAAAGATTAAACTCATGTGCATTGTTTATAACACAGAGAATGCACCTTTTTTAGAGTATTCATTGACCATTAAAAATTCCAAAAACACAAATACTGAATGTTTTCTCTGATATAAGAAGGCTGATTCATAGTGGGGTAGGGAGAGGGAGCATGGGAGGAACAGACAAACTCTAGATAGGGCAGAGGGGTGAGGGGGAGGGAGGGGGCATGGGGTTAGAAATGATGGTGGAATGTGATGGACATCTTTATCCAAAGCGCATATATGAAGACATGAATTGGTGTGAATGTATTATGTATACAACCAGAGATATGAAAAATTGTGCTCTGTATGTGTAATATGAATTGTAATGCATTCCACTCTCATATATACATTTAAAAAATTAATAAAAAAGCAATACGATAACATTATGCAAATAATCTGAAAAAAATGCATAATCACCAGGAGTTCAATCTGTAACTATCCAGGGCTAATCTATAACTGTTTCTTAAAGAATAAGAGTTTTATCCTGTCTTTTTTAATGGCCTATTGCTAAGCTACATGAACTGGCACACAAACAGAAGTGGCATCAAAATGGATTGAGGGGCCCAGTTCTCTGCTTCTCTCTCCTTTGCCCCACCCCGCCTTCTGACACAGGGTAGGAGTGGTGATCAGGCTAATGTTGATATGTGGTATGTTTCCTATCTCTAGTAAAGAATTTGCCTTCTGGTTGGTATGTGTTAGGATAAGTCAGTCTCCCTATGGCAGGAAACCCCAAGAAAGAGGCATACACTCCTGTCTGTGCCCATCAGGATGGACTGGACTGTGGATGGTGGTGGATCTACACTGTGAGGCACCATGAGCCTGCTTCTCAGCAGGTACAGGGCTTCCACCTGCACCAACATAGCACTCATTTTGTTCAAACTACCATTGCAGGGAGGATCTACACCTGTCCGCTATATACGGTTACATTAAAAAAATATTTTTTAGTTCTTAATCATATAATCTTGAGTTATCTTAAAAGTAATCTTACATATTATCATATATCAAATGATAATATGTAAGATTATCAAATAGACAGATATGATTGTGTTTTGTTAAGTAGAAAAAGGAAGGAAAAGTAGAAGGAAAAATAACTAGTTTCTATGGTGAAGCTCACAAGTATTCTTCTTTTTCTCCTGCTTTGATATAAAAATCCTAGTAATTTCTGCTATAAACCTCAGTTCCTTGCTGGGTCAATGCAGTTCTGGGACATAGTTCATGGACTTCCTTAGACCCCTGAGGCTGAAACAGAATGAAGGAATGAAAGAAGCCACCATGTCCCTGTGCTTGCTGATTCCAAAGACATGTAGCACTTGGTGGCAGAGATGAGGCATCCACCAATCCCTCCTCTGATACAGCTCTGACTCCTCAAAATGTAGTATTATATACATGACTCATGTATGTTATATGTGAATAAATTTAGCAGAATAATTGATTTTCTTATGATACTGACATAAATCATAGAAATAGGTGAGATCCACTCTAAGGACCTCTTGTTTTCAAATCAACATCTATCATCACCAACTCTGTTCAACAAGTGTTTCCCCAAATATGGCTCAAGAATCCTGAGTACTCTTGGGGAGTAACAGATTTGCATGTTGAAGACATCACACAGAATTACAGAGGATGGTTGGGGAATCCACGTGGGTGTAGAAGTCCAGCTAGAAAGTGTTCCAGGTGAGGTGGCAGAGGGGAGGGGTTTGAGAAATATGCCAAGGTTAAGATGATAAAACCTCGTGATTTACTTGTGGGGGTGGTGAGGGATCCAGAAAAGTCTATGTCTCTGCTGCTTTAGCTCTGTTGATACCATTAACTGAAGGAGGGATTTGGAGCACATTATCTTGTCTTACATTCTGGAGCTGGGTGAGATCCAGCCACTTATGGAACGCACAAACGGGTGTGTATTACAAACTTCTGAACTTAGGTGAGAGGAAAAGCCTACCCCAGTAGACATTTGGCAGACTGAAGAGTGGTCCCCCCAAAATCTTCAATCCTGGGAACCTGTGAATATGTTATTTGACAGAGAAACGGGGATGTGATTAAGTTAGGAACCTTGAGATGGGGAGATCATTCTGAATTATCCCAGTGTAATGTCATCACCAGGTCTAGGTCAGAATGATATGGGTAATGGGACAAAGAATGTGGAATCCTCTAGAAACCGACAAAACCAGGATATGGCTCCCCCCCCCCTGCTGCTTTTAGGAGTGAAGCTCCATCAATTCATTTCCTATTCTGACTTCTAGAACTGTAAGATAACAGGTCCATGGTGTTTTGAGCCACCAAGTCTGGGGTTATTTGTTTCAAGAGCAATAGGAAATGAATACATACCTACTTACATTATTTATTTCTTCCATCTTTCCTTCATTTTTTTCAAAATATTCATGGGGTGCCTGCACTATAAGCATCATGAGATTCTTCGGTAGACAAGACAGTGACCCTGGCTTTTGGCACTTTGCAGTGTACGTGGAATTAGGATCATAGAAGTGCTTCAGTTTATGACACAGTCCATTGCGGGGCCTGTGGAAGTCAAAGGTAATCGGACTAAATCTTTACTTTCAGTTGAATCTTTGGTCTACAACACTCTGACTTCATACCAAACTGACACTTATTGCTAGTAACACCTTGAAAATTCAACAAATAATTGACAGGGAAACGCTCACTGCAGATCTATGTTTAAAAATATTTCCAGCATCTACTTGGTTTTCTACCACTTTGGTCACCCAGTGCGTGCCAGGCTCCTGTTGCCTTGCCTCCTCCCTGACCTGTCCTCACAGGTTCCTGGACTGCCTCCTTGCAGCATTGCACGGTCTGGAAGCTGCAGGGAAGTCCACTTGTGGGGATGGTCAATGCTCAGACTCACTTGATCATTGCCTGGGAGACGCTCAGGACTAGAAGTTGCTGGGGAGACAATGGTTAGCTGCACACTCACATGGGGTGTTTTGGAGAAGCCTTTATGGGTGAGTGTTGAGAGCCCTGCTTGCCAGAGACCCACTGACTAACAAAGTTCATCCTGACTGAGCTCGGGTGCCTTGCTTGGGCCCTGGTCACCCCTACAGGACCTTGGTTCAGTCTTGTTCCTAAGACTATGGGATGAAAAATGGCCCAGATGCTGCCTTCTCACCTGGGGGTGGTTTTCTCATTAATGTATAAGGCTCGATTCAGAGATAGTAGAAAGGAGGTTCTTAACAGTTTTACAGACTCCCTGGGATTTATTAGCCAGTAGGCTGCTGTTAAGAGGCCATCCCGGCTAAAATTGCTCCAATTACAATCTCATTTATTGGAAATGAGCATGGCTATTTTTAAACACTGGAATTGGGAGGTACAGAGGTGTCTTGAGCTAACAAAGTAACTCATTAGATGAGATGAACATGGAGATCTTTGCTTAAGAGGGAGACCTGGAAGGTACTGGAATGAAGGTGTGGGTTCTTTTAATTAAATGAGTGCCTGAGGACAGAGCATACAGGGACAGAGAGGAAGAAAAACTAAACTTTGAATTCTAATCTTTAATTCTGGAAAATATACTTAAGTTGTCCAACATGCTGTGGCCATTTGTGTCATTCATCATACCTGGAGATTTAAATGGAAATAGAAGGAAACAGAATGTCCGTGGCATTGGAGAGTCTTGCTTCTTTTAGCAAGTTCTTTGCAAAGCAGAATGCTCTTCCTTCCTGGAGGCTGGTTTCCTCTACGCCGCTCGGCTCTGTCACTCAGCCTCACCCTCAGCCTTCCATTCATTTAGCTTCTCAGTCCTTGCTTCTTCTGGTTGGCCTTGGTTTTCGTTTGTACCACTGCTTCGCCTTCTTATCAGATGTAGTCCTTTCCTTCTTATTTTAAAATGTGTTTTGCAACACCCTGCACTACCTTGGAATTCGATTTAAATAGTATTTTCTGCCTATAGAAACTTAAAAACAGTAGTAACAACAATATAATGCAATGTGGTAATTTGGCTGAGAACGTGAGGCCAGGAGCCAACCTGGGTTTGAATCCAGGTTTCGTCATTTAGTAGCCTTGGAAACAGGAGCAAGTTACTTGTGACTTACTTTCCTCATCTCTGAAAGGGGAGTCATAGTAGTCCTTGCCTTAAGGAGTAGTTGTCAGGATGAAGTAAACTATATGCACATCTCTTAAAATGTGTCTGCCACACAGTAAATGCTCTATATGTATTGGTTTTTAATGCTGTGAATCAAATATAAAGGAAAACAAGAGAAAATTAGTTTATAATACAGTAACATATGTTCTAACATTTTAATGCTCCCTCGAAGCCACACTGGAAAAACAAATAAAATCGTCATACTCCAATTTATAGTGAATAAATTTTGATTTTACCTGTAAATCAAACTAAATTTGATTTAGTTTCAACCAAAGCTGAACTAAATTCAACTAAATTTGAACAATTTTCAACTAAATATTATTCCTATTTCTAGAAAAGTATTTGGTGTTTGAAACTATGTTTCCAATAAATGAAGATAGCAATTGGAGCCAGGATGGTCTCTAACATTTGTATTCTTATTACACATGTCAACTGACAAGGACTGTGACAGATTCTAGGGCAAGCTGGTACAATATTGATGTCAGCAGGACTGTAGTGACGATGTGATCTTCTGAAATGGTGAGCAATTTTTGTAAATTTCCAAACCAAGCAAACTTAGAAGACATATTTTAAAGTAATCACAGTGGCATTCGTGAAACAATGAAGAAAACCATGCAAAAATCACTTTGTCCCTGGACTCAGGCAGCAACACCTTAAACACTATTTGTATTACTTATGAATATCCATATGTGTGGGTATGTGTATATAGGAATCATTCTTTACTATGAGGGACTGCTCTCATTTTGAAAGGCATGAAACTCACTTTGCTATTATCACCTCCTTCCGTAACTCCCACAAATTCCCAAAGCAATTCTCAGTCCCTGAGTAGACAAAGTCCCCCATGAATCTCTATAACACCCTGTGGGAAGCTATGTCAGCCCAGTAAGAGCCATGGAGTTGATCAACAGCTTGCTCATCTCCTGTGCCTTCATCCACCCCAATGACCGTCATCCCCTGCCTCATCTCCACCCATCAACTTCTCACCTGGGCTTAAGGACTGGAGTATATGGCACATCCTCTGTCCACCCTGAGGTATATCCAGCCTGACTCTTTCGTCCCATTGCTAACCTTCTGTGGTTCTTCTCCTCAGCGTCTCTCACGGGTCACCTCCTGTTCCCCAGGTCTTCTGGAGTCTATACCTCCTTCTTGACCCCGAGGTCCTAGCACACAATTCTGTAAGTACATCAAAAAGTGAATAAAGCAGGTGAGGAGTTTTAGACCTGATGAGTGAAAAAGTGAAAAGATGTCTCCCACATACACTATGGAGAGTGTTAGATGTGTTGTAGACAATCCATGTTTTTCCAGAAAAGCTTGAGTATTGACATGTTTGCATGTCTGCCACTAACATTTTTGCTTCACAAATTTGCAGTACTGAAGCTCAGAAAGCTGTTGGAGTTATTTGCATACATGCCTTACCAACTTTCTCCCAAAGCAAAGATACAGTGTGTGTTATGCACCTAAGATGTGAACTTAAAACAGCTTTGGGGATGAGGTGGGTTCTGTATGAACTGAAGGGATTTTTGCAAAATTGTGTTCATTAAAGTTCAATAGCAATACTTAAAGGCTACCTACCAGAGGGATTGTCAGTTCAAGAGAAGAAAATGCCTTAAAAAGAAAGGAATGAAACCATAATTATGGCACTTCAAGCATCAGAGAGGGAGTCAGGGATGTTTTATAGATGGGGTTACAGTGGCTCCAGGCAGCCTACAAATCATAGCTTTTCTGAGAGATGGCTTCTGTTCTGGGATCTTGAAGTGTAAAATTATAGCCTTTACAAGTGAAATGTGTATAAATATCAGTTAGCCAAATGGCCATTTACTGGGGTCCTACAAATCTCAAAAATGATCCATCCCTGATCTCAGAGAGCTGACAGTCCAGTTAGGGAGCTAAACTTATAAACAGCACAGCTACGTAATTTGTTGGGCCTAGTTCAAAAGGAAAGTATGGGCCCTTGCTCATAAATTCTTAAGGACTTTCAAAGGGTGACAGCAGAGCACTAAACTAAGCAGGGGGCCCTTCTTTAGAGAGACCTGGAAAACGCATGCCCCATGCCCTGCTGAGACATAACTTTAATAACATAAGATGCAGGGAATACTGTGCAAGGGAGGAGGGATGGCTAAGGCTGCAGGACAGGGCTGGACCTGGGGAACTGGTGACTCGGGGCCCAGGGGCCTCCAGGCAGGGAGAGCTGGGGAGGGAGCAGCCATCTCTTCTGCAGCCCTTTCCACTCAGCCTGGTCCCAGAAGAGCTCCTGCTCTCCTGCTGCCGTGTGACGGTTTCAGACACTGTCTATTCAGCTCAGTTAACAAGAGGTGAGGGCTTGGCTTGCTTGGGAACTCATTCATCTCCATTCTAATGAAATCTCGTTACCGTGACTCTCCGTGTTTAGTGTTTCTGTCGGTTATTGGTTAACTTTTGAAATGATCTGCTCACACTTTTGTTTCTTATTTGTGTAGCATTTCCTGCCTCCCCACATTAGAAATGAGCACCTTGATTCTCTCTTGCTTCCTTCCAACCTGGCACCCCTTCCCAGCCACAAAGTGCTCTTCCATGGAACTTCTGTGTCTGTGGAGTCGTTCCACATCTGGGCTGTTCAATATGGTAGCCGCTGGACACAAGTGGCCACCGGACACTTGAGGTGCGGCAGGTGTGAGGGAGGAACTGAAACTTTTGTTTCATTTAATTTTAACAAATTAAAATTTAATTTTTAGGCACCAGTAGCTATATATTATATAGCCCAGCAGGCTTTCATTCTTATGTGGCCAGAGCTGTTTACAATCTTTTCTAGTGTCTCATGTTATCTCTATACCTGGATCCTCAAAGTTGAAAATCAGTTGAGAATGTTCTACTATTATGTTGATCACATTATAATTTACTTCAGCCAAACGGTGTAGAACAGTTGCTTTTTCTTCTATTTTTCTGCTTTTATTTTTATATTTGGGTGTATATTTTCTAGTTGTTTTCCTATTTTTCTTGCTCTGACTTTACTTCCCCTCTAGATTGCTCTATAACTCGAGGGAAGTGACACAGTCCGTGACCCATTAATCCCCCAATACTATGCTTCTAGAACCACCTTCTCTCCTCCTGTGCTCTAGTCTGCTGGTTGGCTGTCTAGCTCCGCTGGATGACCCTCACCCAAGGACTTCCCCTCACAGCACTCCTGGGTTGAGTCTTCACTTCCTGGAGTCCACCTCTTCCATCTTTGGGTTCACTCCCTTGTTTTGCGAGGTTCCCTCATCAAGTGACTTCCTAAGAAAGGATCGAGAGGAGGCCATCTTTCTGAGTCAGCTCTCGTGTGTCTAAGAATAGTCATGTTCTACTTCATACATAATGGATGTTCCTGTTCAGGGATCAGTAACTGCTGCCCCGGGGTCAGATCTGCCTCATTGTCTGTCTTTGTACAACTGGTAAATCATGCCAGACTTTAACATTTTTAAATGATTGAAAAAAAAAAAAGGAAAGAAAAGGAACATTTTGTGGCACAGGAAAATAAGCAATAAAAAATTTAGTGACCGGGCTGGGGATGCGGCTCAAGCGGTAGCTCGCTCGCTTGGCATGCGTGCGGCCCGGGTTCGATCTTCAGCACCACAAACCAACAAAGATGTTGTGTCCGCCGAAAACTAAAAAACAAATATTAAAATCCTCTCTCTCTCTCTCTAAAAAAAAAAAAAAAAAAAATTTAGTGACCATAAATACCATTTTATTGGAACACAGCCTTGCTCATTCATTAACATCTTGTTGATGGCTGCTGTCACGCCATCAAGGCAGAGCTGAATAAGTGAACAGAGACTGTCTGACCCAGGAAGCCTAAAATATTTCCTATCTGGTCTATTCCAGAAAACGTTTGCCAGCTCCTGGTTCAGTTGTTTGCAGTGAAAACCCCCCAGGTCCCCCAGGTCCTCACTGAGACGCAGAGTGTCTAACCAGAGCCACGGGTGGCCTGGCTTTCCTTTGCCTTTCTGACCCCTTCCGTTCACAGCCACGTGCCCCTCTTTGCTGTTCCTCTAGCACCAGGAGGCTCTGGGGGCAGCAGGACCCCTGTATTTGCTGTCCCTTCTGCCGGTCATGCTCTTTCTTGGCTCTCCACACAGGTCGTCCCTCACCTCCCCAGGTGTCTTCTCAGATGACACCTTGGTGAATTCTTCTCTGGCCATCCATTCAATTTTGGCCTCTCCCTAGACTCATTTCCTACTCGGCTTTGTTTTCCCTCTTGGTGTTTTTCCTCCCCAGCACTTATTTCTACTTAACCCCTTATATTTACCTTCTTATTCTGCACAGAGAGGACTCCATCCCAAACCGAGCATGACAGAAGAACTTCCCGGAGGACAGGATTTTTGCTCCCAGGACCACAGAGATGTTCAGAAATATTGGCTGAATGAATGAATGCAGTATTACAGGGTGAAACTTAGACCCTTCTGGCCTTTGTAGGTTTTGTTCTCCTGCCTTCTAACTCACGCTATTTATGAGAAATCTGGTACCTTCAAGTCTCTGTTTCTGTGGCACTGACTCATTTTCTCTATTTGGGAACTTTTAAGGAGTTCTCTTTGGAACATCTTAAAAGAGTGTTTGGAAATTTTACAGTGACTTGCAATTCTTCATCTTGGCACTCAGTGAGACTTTTAGTCCAAATACACATGGACTTCAATCTAGAGAAGTCCTTTAAGTTATTACTTTGATGATGATGTCATTAAACATTTCCTGAGAAATTCACTTAAATTTGTCCTCCAACCCCCTCACTAAAAATCTTTATTTAGCAACCCTGCTCCTGGTATCCAAAGGTTCTTTCTTGTTCTCAGATTATTTATCATTCTTACCATCCTGCTCCTTGTAATGAATACGGTATCTTCATGAATCTCTCTCAGGGTACCCATTAGAAGACCCTGTTCCTCCCTTTCCTGAAACGTTTCTTGGTACCCCAATGGGGAGATGGTCATGCCCGGCAGGTGCTGAGTGAAGCTCTCAGGCCATAGGTGGGTGTCTATCTCAAGCTCCTGAGTCCACAGTCCACATTTGCTGCCTGTATTCTCTGCAGGATTTCAGTGACTCTGGAGATGGATCTTCTGGTTCTGTGTCCTGCAGTGGGGTGAGTGGCTGTATCCACAGGGTTATGAGTGACAGAGATACTTGATGCAGGCATAAGAGGGCGCTAGGTTCCCATGGACTTTTAATTCATCCTTCTGTTTCCAATTCCATCACTTATTGAGGATGTTTAAAGCTTCTCCTGCTTTGGAGTCCTGATCCTGCAGCGAGGATGCATCACAGATGGGCTATTTCCTCCACTAGAAGGCCCTCCTTGCTTGTGAAATTCTGGGATCCCCTGCCTACCTTCGTAGGTCATCCCTCCTCCCTCCACGTTTGATCTTCCAGAAATCTGTTGAAAGTTCTAAAGCTTGGATGTTCTTCCTCTGGTTGTTTTTGTTATTGTGGATCTACGTCTTTTTCCCCCCCTTTAATTTAAGTGGAGTTTTTTGGGAAGAAAGGGAACAGAAAGAGCCTGCAGTCAGTCTACCATCTTGAAATGCATGTCCAGCCTCTTTTTTTTTTTTTTTTTTGGTGGTGCTGAGGATTGAACCCAGGGCCTTGTGCATGTGAGGCAAGTACCCTGCCAAATGAGCTATGCCCAGCCTCTTGATGATTATCCCATTTCTATAAATCAGGGGTTTTACACCAAAGAATTTATGTGGCTCCAATACTGGCTCCATAATAGTAAAAATCCTATGTCTTTGGTGACATCTAAAAGCCTGGTGTGAAAACAGCCCTGTTTTTGAGGTCACTAAATGTGTTCAATGTCACCTAGTACTTTTGATGGTATGTAAAGCAGGGTGACCCAACATAAATGAGGCAGTACTTTCTAGATATAGAAATGTATACAAAGAGGAAGCTGCTGAGAGAAATTTCATCTTGTTCCTGATCAAAATGCACAGCATCTTCTTGTATCCTTTTACTTCTCCACAGATTTAATGTTCTTTGTCTCTGTGTCTCAGTTTATTCTAGTTGCTTTAACAAAATGCCATAACTGGGTACCTTGTAAACAACATTTACTTCTTAAGAGTTCTGGAGCCTGGGAAGTGCAAGATCAAGGCAGCGGCAGGTTCTCTGTCTCGTGAGGACGTGCCTCATGATTCAGAGATGCATCTCCTCACACTGAACTCATGTGATGGAAGGGGCAAGGCTCTCTAGGGCTTCCTTACAAGAACACTAACCCCATTCATGCAGGATCTAATCACGCACACCCAGTACCAACACAGTGGGGATTAGAGTTCAACATATGACATACGCATTCTGTCCATAGTAGTCTTCTTATAAAATAAATATAAAGAAAATGAGAGAAGGTCTGAGACCAGAGACTGAAGTAGTTTTTCAAACTATTATCTATTATCCAAGGTAAATAGCTTTTGCCAAATAGTAATTTTGCTACATGTTCTCTTTCTCTGTTTCATTAACAACATTATTTATTTTTAACAGTTTGCATTGATATTTGAGTTATGAGATATGGGGTACATGGGGATGTAGGCCATGCTTCATCTGTACATTTAAAAATTTTTAAAAAGCATGCACGTGAAACATGCTGTACAGAAAATTTCTACTTTGCTTTTGAAAGTGTTGCTTATAAATTCTGCTATCAGGTGACACTAGTTTCTCTCTGGAATTCCAGCTATTGAAAGCACATCTTGAATGAGAATTCAATTGAAATTCAACTGCATTGTTTATTTTTCTACCCATACTGACTCTGTTTTCCTTGCTTTCATTGTCTGTAGGCCCGAAAGCAGATCTTCTGTTTGTTCGGTCTAAGCAATTCACACTTCTCTTTTGAGAAGATGGAAGAAGTGATCAGGTTTGCATGAGGTAGGGCTGTGAAACTACAGACAGTGAAGACCTGCCTGGTCACCAGGAGGAAGGAGTACATTCAGTGAGTGTCCAGAGGAGGAAGGTCCTGTGGTGGGGAATCCTGATCCTAATGGGATCTATGCCTAGGGTGAACTCTGTACACCCAACGTGAAAAGTTGAATGCTGTGCTTGTTCTGGGGCCTTCTTATGTTTCTATCTTGAATCTGGTTATCTTCCAGATTCCAGGCTGTTTTATAGTTTCATTTTGATTTTTGCTTGTATGCTAATTTGTTTCTTGGTGATGGTATGAGGAGAGCCATTACATGATCTGAAAACCTAGGTTTTCCGTGTGGTCTCGGTAATGACTGGGGTGGGCTGTAATCTAATATCGTTCCTGAATGAAAGTCTCATATGTCCTTTCAGTAGTATATTCGTGAGTTTACCTCTGGATTAGTCTTTTTATTTGTTAATATTTGGCTTGATGCCAATATTAGATCATGAAGGCAGACACAGTTTGGGTTGGGATGAATAGGCAGCCTTCCAAGACAGATTCCTTTAGTTGATTGATACCTCCCGGAATTTATACTTTGAAGTCCCCTATCCCCATAGAGTGTAGACTGGACCAAGTGATTCATTTCTAACAAATAGAAATCACCAGGAGTGACAGGATATCACCTCTGAGATGAGGTACAGAAGTGACTTATGTCTTGTTCTTGTTCTCACTTGCTCACTGATGAATCCAGATACCATACTGTGGGCCACCTAAGGAGAGACCCACCTGATAAGGAACTTCAGGTTGTACTGAATTGAGGCCCTAGGGAACAGTAGCCCATGGGAAACTAAACCCTACCAACACACGCAGGCTTGTGCTAGACGGATCCCTTCCTTCCCCATTGAGCCTGGAGGTGGCGGCAGACCCAGCTGACCCCTTGACTGCAGCCTGTGCAGGATCTTTAGGTGGTGTACCCAGCTAAACTGGGCCCAGAGTCCTGATCCACAGAAGCCACGAGATAACAGATGTTTGTTGGTTTGAGCCACTGAGTTTTAGGGCAACCTGTTAAGCAGTAAAACAAGTGCTATGGTTTGGTATGGTTCAAGTGTGTCCCCCAAAGCTTCATGTGGCGGAGACTTGCCCAGGGGGACATGTTGAGAAGAGTTGGATCTTTACAAGGTGGGGCCTGGTGGAAGGTAATTATATCATGAGGGCACCACCTCTGTGAAGGGCTTAATGCAGATCTCCTGGCCTTGGATTAGGTCCCATGAGAATGAGTTGTTCTCATTCTTAAGAGCAAGATGCATTGCCTTGGCTTACTCTGAAGCTTCCTGTCTGAGCATGTTCACTCCTGCCATTGTGGTGCCATCTTCCATGAGACCCTCACCAGAGCCAAGCAGATTCTGGCACCCTGTAGCTCCAGAACCGTGAGTTAAATAAACATCTTAGCTGGGCCTGGTGGTGCACGCCTGTAAACCCAGAGACTCAGAAGGCTGGGGTAGGTGGATTGCAAGTTTGAGGCAGCCTAGGCAACTTAGCAAAACCCTGCCTCAAAACAAAATAAATAGGGCTGGAGACGTAGCTCCGTGGAAGAGTGTAATGCTAGATTTGTGGGATCCCAGTAGACCTCCAGGAGCCAAATCCGATGCAATCACACAAGAGTCTTTATTGCAAGCTCGAGCCTGGACTTACAACCGTTTGCGATGCAATGGTCCCGAGGAATGAATCCTGACCCTTAGTTCAGTGAGGATTTATAGTTTTTTTTGGGGATTCTCTATGCATCACAACATCACACAGCGAATCATTTCATACCGCGAGAAAATCAAACAACAACTCTTAACATTGATTAGCACATTCACTGGTGGGAACAAGTTGGGTAAGGGTGATTGGTTAGTTCAAGGGTAGAAACATTTGAACTGATTGGTTTAGGCCCAGTTGTAAGAGTGTTTAGTTGTAAGCTAAACTGAAGGGTGGCCTAATCATGTTATCAATCATGAAACTACTGGGAGGGTCACCTGGCATTTCAGAAATTTTCCCTGTCAAATGCTGATTGGTGGTTGCTAGGGGGTTGCTATGGGTCCTCACCTAGTGTAACTGAGTCAGGGACACCTGGTGCTGCAGATCCCTCCTGTTAAAAAACTCAGCAGGGTTTGCATGTGCCTAGGAGCACATACTTGTGGGTTTTTCCAAGGACAAGGGTCACGCCCCCTCCCTCTACACAGGCCTTGAGGTAGAAGCTGGTTTCAAAAATGGAGTCATATCAGTTGCTCAAGAGCACTTACTTTCCTTGTGTGTATGAGTTCCTGAGGCCATCCCCAGTACCATAAAATAAAATGAAATAAACATTTTGTCTTTTTAAATATCCAGTCTCAGATTTTTTTTTTTACAGCAACAGAAAAGAGACTAAGACAATAACTCATATAATTCTCATATAATAGTTGCCAAACTTGGAAGCCTGCATTGGATAACACCATTTTTAAATGATTTATTTAATTTGCTTTGAGAAAAGAGTATAAATATAGTGAGAATGATTTTTTTTTTCCTCCAAGAAGTTCTAGAGAAACAAGCTGCTAATGTTGAAAAAGAAAGGGAGGAAGGCGGGAATTTGTGATGAGTTCAAATATGTCTAACTTTCTGCCGGTCATTCTCCTTTTCTAGTGTGTAAAAAAAAGGTTTTACAGTTAAAGAATCTATTATGTGTGCTGCCAAAGAATGGTAGGTTAAGACTGATTTTTTTTTAGCTTAAGCTGATTTTTGCAAGCTTATCTGTGTCTCCTATTTAGAAGAACTTTATAAATGATTAAGAGAATTAAAGAGGAAGATGTGAAACAAAAAGAGAATCTGAAAGATATTGATGATGAAAATGTGGCATCTGAGCCCAACATACTGAGGATTGCTCTGTAAATGTTCTCACCTCCATGCCTATAAACTCATCTTCACCTCCAAATGAGGAAGGCAAAGGCACACACTGTTTTGTACACGCACCTCGGAATGAATACATTGGGTAGTGCTAGATGAAGTCAGACAGATGAGATAAGCCTGCTTTGGATTCTGGATTCAAGGAGGGGTTTGATAAGAGTAAGTAGGAAGAACAATAGATTTGAGGAAGTAGAGATGAAACTTCCTCTTCTTTTGAAATAGCTTTATTTTCTTGTCAGCTTCTGATGTAGTGCTGTGTAGACGGAACCTCCCGAGAGACTGCTTCGAGTGGAATCCCCAACATTTGCCTCGGAGTATTATGAATTTTCTGAACTCAGAGATAAAGAGAAAGTTCTTGGATTTACTCTGTTTATATTGCATGTAAGTAAAGTCACCCTTTGGCTGATATATGAGAAGTAATTGCTTGGCGTATCAAGATGGCACAACAATTGATGCTCTAGTACTATCTTTACAACCCTCAGGTCTGAAATGTGACTCTTGGAGGTGGTATTTGCTCAACTCCTTTTACACCTGCTGCTGTGAAGGCTGCTGTTCTTATTCTGCAAGAGCTTTGAAGGAGAGAGCTGTGTACTCATTCTGCTTTTCTTTTCCTAAATGGGTGTTGAACTCACAGCTGGTTCTGACTGTAGGCCACCATTTGATTTAGAAAACCTCAATTCAGTATTTGTTTGGATACAGATGAGTTCATTTGGGGAAAACTCTGTGGCCACCATCTGTAGAGAAAGCATGTTCTTTGTGGAGAATCCCCCTTTGCATGCAGATAGCTAGAGGGGATTTTGCTTTTAGATAAAGGTCACAGGCTAGACAGAATATCTCATATGAATATGAGGGATGAGTGTTGGTTCACAGGCTTTTACAGAAGGCATCAGAAGTGTGTGATTTCCTTTTCTTGGTGTGTGTAATAATTTAATTATAGGAGTCAGAATTAAAACCCAGCAAAGCAGAAGTGAACTTCAATAGTCTTTAGGGGCCTATGAATTCCTAGTACCGTCCCAGCCCTTTTATAGTGATATGGAGTTTGGTTCCTATTTTCATTAGAAATAGAAATGGAAAGAGTGCAGGTTTCTTTCTGCTCCCATCGTTCAAGTGAGAAAGAAAGGGACTTAAAGTTGTGCTCTTGTTGATATATTCATTCTTTATCTTTGAATTTCCTTCCTTTCCTTAATATGTCAAGCGTCTCTTCTGCAGAAGGTCCACGAATGAACATTTCAGGCAAATTGCATTAAGAAAATGCATATCACCAGAATATGGAAATAGGAAGTTCTTTCCTGTGGTAGTTTGCTGTGGCAATAAGAGATAAGAAATTACTTCACGACGATTGCCTGAGACTTTCCTTTTGACTTGTGTGTCCTTCTTGAAGCGCTCACTTCTGCTTTTCATCCAGCTTGGAGGCTCGGCAGTGTGAGCTGGTAACCAAAGCACAAGTTGAGAATTAGCAAATATTTGCAAGGTGCAATATGATGTGTGTGTGTGTGTGTGTGTGTGTGTGTGTATGTGTGTCTGTGTGTGTGTGTGTGTAGAAAATAAGGTTTTTAGTGTTGTAGAAAATTCTGCAAGTGAGGAAATTACTGTACTTCTGGTACCCGGAAAAGTTAACTTCCATATACTATGTTTTCAGTAATTATTAATTAGATGAATGACTGGTATTATTCATGACATGAGTGCTGTTGGGTAGCTTTGCTTTATTTTTGTTACCCAGGTACCTTAGAAAATAAAGATTGGAGGAGATCAGTACGAAGCAAGAGAGAATAAGAAAATGTGGAGTGAAGAAAAGTATAGAAAACAGGTAATAAAAAGCCCTAGCTGGGCAAAGTGAAAGGGACTGCATATGGTAGTGGAGGTGATGGTAGAGATGGTGGTGGTGGTGGTGGAGGTGATGGAGAAGGTGATGGTAGAGATGGTGGTAGTGGTGGCAGATGGTGGGGATGATGGTAGAAGTGGTGGGATGGTGGTGGAAGCGATAGAGAAGGCAATGGTTAAAAAGGTGGAGGTTTTGGAGGAATTAATAGTAGAGATGTGGAGGTGATGATAGAAATTATGGAGTGATTGTAAATACGGTGGTAAAGGTGATGGTAGAGATGGTGGGGGTGATATTGGAAGTGACAGAGGAGGTGATGGTAGAAATGGTGACTAATAGAGATGAGGATAGCAGAGATTGTTGAGGTGGTAATGACAGGTAGGACAGTGTCATATAGCACTCCCCCCCCCCACGAGCAAACAAACAAACAGACAGTTTGGGGTCAGACACATCTGTTTAATGTATGTATCTACCACTTACTGACTATAATTTATGAACCTAGAAAGTGGTGATTATAGTATTTGGGCATCATATTAGGATTAGAAATGCGATGACATAGCACTTGCTCTTCATGGACCACTAAATGACAATTATCAGTATATATTTCTTCAGTTTTCAAATCACCATAGCCATACTTAAAAATTTGACCACAAGTTTATCTTTTCTCTTTTATGCTTTTTGCCACTTTCTAAGTTTCATAAAAGAAACACGAATCTTTTAATCCTACTGTGGTTTAAATGTGTGCCCCCCGCCACCTCACATGGAAACCTTGTTGTGGTATAAAGAGGAGGGATGTTTGGGGGTTCCACAAGGAGGTGGGAGGGCTCTCCTCATGACTGGTGGCAGTGCTGCCACAGAAGGGGTTGAAGGGAATGTGCCTGCCCCTTCCTCCCTATGAGGACACAGAGAAGATATTATCTGTAGGATTAGCTTTGATCTTGGGCTTCCCAGCCTTTAAAATTGTTAAAAACCAAATTCTGTTGTTCATAAGCCACTGGCCCCCTATGATATTTTGTTTCAGTAGCAGGAATGAACCAAGATCATAATTTGTTAAAAAGGAATGTCATAAACCTACTCATCAGAATGGTTAAGCACCTCATGATATGTCTAGATAAAGAAAAACCACCACTATAATGATATTTATGGAAACAGTTTCATAATGTACTGCTGTCAAAGAAGCTGGACGCAACTTTTTCAACTATGCAAAAATATTGCAGATAAGCAAGATTGAGGTAAAGTAGGCTAAAGTCCGTGAAGAGTGGGTTTATAGCTGATGGCTATTTTTGTCTTTGTACTTTTTTTTTTTTCAAGTTTTGTCAGTTGAGCATACTTGGTTTCTCTTTATAATATGAAAACAAAGTAAGTGTTAAATGAAAATAAATGAGCAAAAAGTTAACACTTTCTTTGTCCTGTGCCAAAGACAATGCAGAAGTAGTTTGTAGTGATACTGTGCTTAAGTTTGTGGATCATTGCTATCTAAGAAATGGCACTGATAACTTATGCTAGTTAGTCTTTTTAGGGGAATTCCCTTTGAGATTAGAACTGGCACAGACTCATGTGTCAGCTTCAAAATGGCAACAAGCAAAGAGGGCTCCATCTGGGGATGGCCGGTCTGATTAATTCCTAGAATCAAATGAAAATGAGCTATTTTCTCTGAATGACTCTATTGGATTATCTTCTAGCAGGTTCAATAGTCAATTCAACAGTTAATATTTCCAAGGTAAACTTAGATTTCCCCACACACAAGTGATTCATTTTTAAGGGAATATTGACTTATCTATCATCTTGGTATAAATGGGGAGTGGTCAGAAACACATTTTTTGCAGAGTCAAGAAATAATTTCTGTTAAGACTATGGCTCTGCCATCTCAGAGTGCCAGCATGCCACTGTGGGTCTCTTGCCAGGGACTTGACCGAAACAAAGTGTTTTAGCTTGTAGGTATGGAGAGGAATCTCCTGTTTTGTTTTAGAAACGACTGAGTAAGAGAAAGTTGGCAGAGAAAGAGTGAAAGAGCTGAGCAAAGACAGCCCTTGCAAACCCACTTGGGTATGCTGGTTGGAATAGTTAAAAGGCAAAAAATTAGCCCGCGAAACCGACCTCCAAATTACTGGATTACAGATGAGACTTTCATAAATGCTGAATCAAAAATGACCAGATCTTCAAGGTTAGAAATGAAAGAATTAATCAAATCAAATATGAATTGAGATGGAAAGCAGCAGCATGATATAGTTTTTAACAGGAAGTCCACAACAATCCCTGAATATTTCATGTGTAGGGCACTGAGGGATAGTATCACTGAGTACTTGTTGTGGTTTAGGCAGGTGATCAAAACTTTAATTTTTACATTTCAGTTTACATTTACATTTAGTTACATTTATATTTATGATTTCAGTCGCTTCTCAAAATTGTCAAGGAAAATGGTACTATATTGTTACCTCTGTGAAACGGAAGCTTAGAGGTAAAGTGCCCTGTTCACATCACCCCACTGGGAGGGGTAGATGCAGGGTTCAAATCAGATCTTAAACTCCCTGGGCTTGTGGCCTGACTTACATTCTATGCAAGAAAAAATTCTGATTTTTTCATTTAAGAGAGCAATTTGAGGTCAAGGATTAGGAGGCAAAGAGTAAGAATAAGCAGATTTGCTTGCTACTCTAAAATCTAAAGTGAAATTCTTTCCTACATTCTTATGGAGGAGGTGGTGGAAAGGGATTTTCTTTTGTCCAGGCATCTCTCTGTGTCCTGACATGACTGCACATATGTGGTTTCCAACACAGCCTACCGTGCAGGGGCCAGGTGGCAGTGTGTAGGCAATGCTTCTTAACCAGCAGGGACAGCAGGGTTTGGAAAGGGCCTGTAGAGCCATCCCTGGGGAGTCTGCGACCCCAATCAAGATACGTAACAGTTCCTTCCCCACTAGGATCCTCACTTAGAATCTCTGTCTAAGTTTAAACAATCCCATTTCTATTTTCAGTATTAATGCACCCATATTGGTGGGACTTTCTCTGTTTTTTTTTTTTTTTTAAGTGGGAAAACCATGGACCCATATTTAGGAGACGTGGGTGCTCTGACTGTGACAAATAATAATTGGGTTATTTTATACACACACACACACACACACACACACACACACATATATATTTTTCAGTGCCACAAAGCCAGGCACTGAACTTCTCCACACTTTAATTTTCTCATCTATAAAAGCAAAGATTAAAAAATACCTAAAATGTTTTGCTACGTGGACCAAATGAGATTAAGTAAATATACTTTGAAGAAAGTAAAAAAAAAAAAAAATTTTTTTTTTTGACTCATGGAACCCTTTTATCTTTGCTCGCGACCCATTTCCTTTTAACCATATAGAGACTCAACTGGCCCCCAAGAGCTTTACTGACAGAAAAGGATTACATGAAAGGAGCATGAAGGGAGGTGTAATCGGTGGAGTCATGCCTGCCCCATAGTACCTCTGAATGTGTCCTTGTTTGGAATAGGGTAGTTGTAGATCTACAACTGGTTAAATTAAGATAAGGTCATGCTGCAGGGCTGTGGGTCCCCATCCAACAGGACT